AAAGGATTAGATTATGATACCGGGCATGGATGCTTCGGGGAGTACCTGAGTCGCATCGGAAAGGAGCCGACGACACAGTGCCACCAGTGTGGCGCGGCCAGCGACTCGGTAGAGCACACCGTGGAGGAGTGCCCACGGTGGGCAGAAGACCGCCGAGCGCTGGTCGACGCGATTGGACCGGACTTGTCCTTGGAGGGCCTAATGTGAGCATTGGCCTTCGGGGACAAAGACCGGCAAAAGGCAGTGATCTTCTTCTGCTCCATCGTGATGGAGCAAAAGGAGAAAGACAAACGGGAGCGGGAGAGGGCACCCATTCCTCAGCGGGGACCTCGGGGGCGCGTGCGGGCGGGTTGCCGGGTAGCACCCGCTCCCCGCGCGCGTCCTCGGGATCAGGGGTCCCAATAACAGTAGCTCCCTCCCCTCTTCCCCCGTGGGGGAGATGGAGGAAGTCGGGGTGGCGGGCGCTGTTGTGGGAGCCGGCTCTCACCGTCAACCCGCTGCTCCGGGGGACATTTCTGGAGCAAGAAGAACGGAGGCGGTGGCCTTCCCGGGTGGTACCATCCACTCGGCTGCTTGTGCCTTAAGGCCCCAGGGCCTTAGGGGGACCAGGCCACCGCGGGGGCTGTGACGGGTCAGGATGGGGGTCCTGGCCTGTACTGCACACGGCCCCACAAGAAGGGGCGGCGGGGTGGTGGGTGTCCAACTGCGCTGCCAACCAGTACATCACCACCGGAGAGAAAGGGGCGCTAGCCTCTCCCGTCCGAGTAGTCAAGCCCGAGGGAGGAGTTCGCGTGCATCCTGAGCAAGGAATTCCCGGGCTCCTCCCCGCCAAGGGCAAAGAAGACACCTCGTGGAGGTTTTAGTGGGTATACCCTCCCTTTCTCACCCGCTAGGGTGGAGAGGAGGGAGTCCCACATAACCCTGCCCCTCATCCCCCAAGGGTCAAGGTATCCGTAATGGATTTCCCCTACGTAAAAAAAAAAGAAAAAAAAGGATTAGATTAAGATATCTACGGTAGATCTCATTAACTTAATTTACAAAGCCGTTGGGGTCTGCGACGAGGTGGCGGGCCGCGCTAAGCGTCTAAAGGGCACGGACGTAAAGGCCTTTAGATCGGCGGGCCGGGACGGGCGTATGGTGGCGGATACACTATACGTCCGTCTCAAAGATAACCTGGCGGTGAGGACAGCACCTGTCCTCCCTCAGGTTTATAAGGAAACTGAGGAGCTCTGACTGGAAGTCAGGCTTCTCAGAGAGAAAGTGGCTGCCTTACAGGCAAAAATCAATATGCCACCGCCTCTTCCCCCTCCCGCCGGTGGGGGTGTCTGACGACATCCTTGAGAAGATCGGCGCCTTTATCGACGCTAAACTTGCCGCCCTTGTTCCCCTCGCTCCAGCGGTGGACGGACGGCTGTAGGAGTCTCGCGCACTCACAAAGGGGCAGGTGCGCGCTTGCGGTCGGTCTCCAGGCGGCGGGTGGGCCCAGCGGCCGCGGCCAGTGTTTGCCCCCCGACCGCTCCGTCATCCAGGGCGCATAAGGCTGCAGACCCGGGCCCGTCGACCCCATCTGGAGCGGTGGTCGACGGTAGTGGGCCGTAAGGCCAAAAAGAAGGCTGTGGGTTTGTCAGGGGCCTCGGCTTTCCCTGCGGTCCAAACTACTTCTGAGGCTCCCCCTTTGGGGGGATCACTCCAGAAGACAACAAAGAAGAAGCGGGGGGTCAGGCTCCGTTCCCCCACGACGGCCGCAATCGTGGTGGCACGAGACTCGTCCGCTTCAATCGACCTCAACAAGACTGCAAGACGGTGTCGACTAGCGATACCCTTTGAGCCCTTCGGGATTCGAGAGATACGCCCGCGTCGAACAATGACGGAGACTTGATGATCCAGGTCCCTGGTCCAGATATGGCAACCAAGACTGATGCATTGGCTGCCAAGATGAAAGAGGTCCTCGCGGGGACCGGCGGTAAGATCCGCCGCCCCTCGCGTCTCGGGAATATTTGGGTGCAAGAGATCGACGGTACGGTTTCCCGCGAGAAAATGGTGGCGGTGCTCGCCTTAGAGGGCGGCTGTCTGGAGGGGAGAATTCGCCTGAGCGAATTTAAAACCTTTTCCTCCGGACTCAAGACGGCCTGGGTCCAGTGCCCAATATCAGCGGCCAAGCGGCTGGCCGGGAAGGTCAAACTGGGGTGGGTGATGGCGCGCGTTGAGGCGCTTAAAGCCCGCCCACTCCGGTGCTATCGGTGCTTGCGCGCGGGACATGTAGGGAAGTTTTGCCCCGCATTCAAAAAGGACCGCTCGGAAGTCTGCTTCCGATGCGGTCTGCCGGGCCATGTCCTGCGGCAGTGCACGGCTCCCGAGCCGCGGTGCCCGCTCTGCGCGTACCTGGGTCGTAAGGCCCGCCACGTATTGGAGGAGCCTTCGTGCCAAACCCCACCTGCCCGCGTCGGCGGATTGGCGACGACGTTCGCGGGGCCGGCACAGTTGGCGCCAAGCTTCGCCTGGCAGGAGAGGCGGCGGTCAGCCGAAAAGTTCCCTTCCGAAGGGGCAGCTCCCGGTGCGGCCGAGGAAAAGATGGAGGCCGAACCTTTAGGGGTGTCGGCTTCTCCATCCTCTCTACATTCACCCCATTGGTGACGGGTGGGGCTTCGGCTTTCTCTGGTTCCAGCGGACCTAGTCCCTCTGGTTCCAAGGAGCCGACCCCGGCTCCGGCGGCGTTGGTACCGCCGGCGCCCAAGAAAATGCCCCTGGGATTCCAATCTTAAAAAATTCCGCCGGGAATGGCCCTGGATGTTCTCTTGGGGCACTCAAAGCCCAAGAAGACCAAGCACAGTCCCCGTTGTTCCAAGCCTTAGTCGGGGCTTGACTCGGCGGTGACTGGGCGCAGCGTGGGGGAAGGGCCTCCCTCGATTGAGGAAGGTCATTATACAGTGGGACAGGTCCGCTTTGGGGCGTTTGACCTGGGACCGAAAGGGGTTTAGTTTGACTCCTTATTGCACTCGGCCCACAGGTGACAGAGGTGGGGCTACGTCCCCCTTCCTCCATCACGGAGGAGCGTGCTACTAATACCAAGGAAGGGGGCTTTGTCAGGCTCCCAGCCTACCGGTGCACCCTGCGGTCATGCGAGAACGCGAATATCGGGGTGTAACTCAATGGGCAGCAGATGGACGTTTCTGGAGTTTTAGTGGGTATACCCTGTCAGGGTGATCTCTGGCTGGGGAATCTCTCATTATCCCATCCCACCTCGGTAGAGTAGGGTGTGTGTAATGCATTTCCTCAGGATAAAAAAAAATACGTAGATTAAGATCTCGGTTTTGGAGGTCGGGAGGACAGCCCCGGCCCTCCAAAGGCAGAGCTGACCACCGAGCACGTCCCCGGGTTGTGGATAGGGGAACGGCCTTAAGTATTAAGGTTAGCTGCGAATAACCCCTTTGGAGAGAATAAGCAGTCCCGGACAATCAGCGGTAGATACTGAGGGTGGGGTGGTCGCTCTTGTGGGAAGGAAGCGGCCTATAAAGTGCCTCATTAAACCTGATGAAGTATCCACGTCAAAGGCGAGTGAGTGCCGCCTTAAAAGCACTCCAACCCCCGGGCAGATCGGGCTCGTTAAGTCTTGTTTACCAACCGATCTAGGTGAAGGAAAACACCGATGTAAAACCAAATAAGCATAGCAATATGAAAAAGGACTTGACAAAGAAAAACTTACTGCTCCAGAGTATTCGGATACTCAAGGGGCGGTACGATGGGAGTACTGTCCCTGCTCCCGCCACGTCGTTATCCAGCAAAGGGCAGAAGGAGGGGTTGACGGCGGGCCCCTCTCGAGAAGCTGCTACCGCCGTAGCAGAGAAAAAAAGAAAAAAAAGGAAAGCCGATAAGAGCCTTGAGTCGGCTTCAGGAGGGTCAGGGGAAAGCCGACGGCTCTTTTACAAAGCTGAGTGTCGGCGACCTCTTTGGCCATCTTGCGGACCTGGAAGAACTTTGGGTACGGCTTTGCCGTCGCTCAAAAATGTTCAGGGAGGAGAAGGCAGGCAAACCGATGGAGTTCTACTCCAGGATCACCGCAGGTCTGGTAGAGCTCCAGGCCCGGTATAGCCTTCGAGAGGCGATATTGGAAAAGATGTCGCCAATGTGGCCAGCAACATAGAGGAGATTGGTCGTGGGCAAACTGTCTACGAACATAATATTATAGAGGCGATTGTTCAGGTCAGCGAGGATATTAAGAAGTATCACTCTCGTAGCCTCGCTGACCTGAAAGCAGTCTAGAAGGACGTGGACGAGGCGCGTGCGGCGATCGAAGAGGTTTATAACGAGGCCTCCCGGTCGCTTCATGCGCTTCACACGAGCATGGGGACGTCGATGCGTGCTATCGCCGACGTCTCCGTGGTAAGATCAGAGGGAGCTGCGTGCTCCACTCCGGTTAGGGGAGAGAGTCAAATTCCCTCTTCCTGGCTGGAGGAGATAGAGCGAGTAGTGCGGAGCATTGTCTCGGGTGAGCTCGAAAGACTCTTGGGGCGAGGTCGCCCGAGGCAGGCCTCTTCAAGGGTGATTCCGATTCCTTCGTCTGTTTTTACTGAGGTGCAGACAGAGGAAAGAAGAGGAAGAGAAGAAAAAGAAGAAAAAGAAAAAGAAAAAAAAGAGTTGGTGGCAGCCAAGAAAGGGAAAGGAACGGCCGCTGGGGCGAGCAAAGGGGAGTTTTTCTTTCCTTTGCTCCTCCTCGTCTCGTCTGCGACTTCCACGTGCGGTCTTCCCGAGGACTGAGGCGGTCACCTTGCGTCTCGAGGAGATGGGCATGTCGTATGCCCAAGTTTTTTTAGACGCAAGGAGTAAGGTGGACCCAGGGTCGGCGGGTGTTTCTACGGTCCGCCGAACCTTGAAGGGGCACCTGTTGTTGGAGGTGGGGGAGAGAGGACCGCAAATCTAGAGCGGACCTCCTCACTTTCAGGCTCAAGAAGGCCCTCCCTGAAGGAGTGAAAGTGGCTTGTCCATCCCGAAACGTGGAGATTATGATTTTGGGGTTGGACAAGGTCACCTTTAAGGAAGATTTCCGAAAGGACTTTGTGTTAGAGTTTGGCGGCGGGAGTGGCGTTAAGGTAGTATTCCTGCGTCGCTCCTCGTCCGCGGGTGGAGCCGCCTTGGTTCGCTGCCCAGTTGAGGCGGCGGCCAAGGCGGTTAAAGCAGGGAAGCTTCCGGTGGGCTGGGTGGTGGCAAGGGTGCGAGCACTCCGCCCCCGCCTCCTACAGTGCTACAGGTGTTTTCAACCTGGGCACTGCAGGGCTCTGTGCTCCAGTCAAGTCAACCGCAGCAATCTGTGTTATCGCTGTCGTCGGCCGGAGCACAGAGCGGCCAGCTGTAATGAGAAGGAGGGGTGTCCTCTTTGCGAGGAGGCGGGCCGGGAGTCCTCCCATCAAATGGGTGTGGCCCGGGTCTTGGTCATCGGTCGGGGGGCTGCCATGCCCTTATTAAACCCCCAATGAGAAGGGTAAGAAGGATGCGGCCCTCTCCGGTTTTGATGGGTTCCCACAAGGACCCGGGGGGGGGGCCGCTCCTCCGTATATCTGGCATCAGATGTAAAGAAGGTTACGCCTGGTCTCTTTTTTAGAGTCCAGGCTGTACTAGTTGGAAGCCCGGTCCCCGTTATTCTAAGCCCTAGTTGGGGCTTGGGCCTCCCTCGTGTTTAAAGGAGGTCAATATTATTATGTCAGGGGGCAAGTCTGCTTCGGCGTTTGACTTGGGGCCGAGAGGGGTCTAATTCCTTTATTGCACTCGGCCCGCAGACGACGAAGGAGGGGTTACGGTTACCTTCCCCGGCCGCGAAGAAGCTAGCTCCTCTATTCGTAGAGGGAAGGCATGCCTGTCCCCAAGCCTATCGGTGCACTCCGTGGTCATGCTCAAAAAGTAGTACCGGAATGCACCGAAATAGGCAGCAGACGGCCGTACCACGGATTTTAGTGGGTATACCCCGCCAGGGTGCTCTTTGGCGAGGAGAGTCCCACACTACTCCATCCCACCGCGGTGGGGTGGGGTGTGCGTAATGCATGTCCCCTGGGTTAAATAAAAAAAAGATTAGATTAAGATAGGTTAACTTAGGTTTCCTGTAATTATAAAAATATTTCCTACATACATCTTTCATAAATTATATATTACATATGTGTATTATATAAAAGTGATGTTAGTCGATTTAAGTTTTATCATAAAAAATCTTTTTTTGTATTTCTTGAAAACGGAACTACGCACATTTTATTCATCACATCAAACATTACTTTTGTGCAAAATTTCAGATCGATAGAGAAAAGGAATCATTCTGTAACACATTCAAAAGTGATTTTAGTCGATATAGTTATTATGTTATAAAACATTTGTTTTTTTTCCGAAGGAAGGTCTACGCGCGCTTTATTTGTTACATCAAACACTATTTTTGTGCAAAATTTCAGACCGATTGGGAGCAGAAGTCATTCGGAACTATATCTTCAATTATTTTTAAATTTGATGGAAAACATCATATATTATCTCCTTATAAATTGTTTAATACACATATCACATTTCTTTCATTAATATTCACAAATTAATAAATATAAAATTAAAATAATATTTTTGTAAATATACATATATACGTTAGATATATAGGTGTTTGCTAATTGCCGTCTCACCGCTCGTAGGTAGGTATAAGAGATTATTCTAAGACGAAAAGTCCTATACCACTTTGGAAAATAAAGATCCGTTAATCAGCATGCATCCAGCGTAAAAACAGCGTAAGGACAACCCAGTTTTTTGCGCAGACGCGCGACGGAATGGGAGAAACTAATACAATAACATGTGTATACATGAACAGCATAGGCTGCGTTCGGGCAGCGCGCTATCCGCGTGAAAGACTGGACTGTCCTTACGCCGTCCTTACGCTGGATGCACACGCTGAATAGCGGATCTTTATTAATTAATACTTTGCTTATTATTGCGAATCTTCCAAAGTGGTATAGGACTTTTTGTCTTAGAATAACTTTTTCTACCTATCTACAAGCGGTGAGACGGCAATTATGGGACACCTTATATATATACAAGGTGTCCGTAAAATTTTGACCCAGCCAAAGTATGGAGATGGAGTATGTGAAACTGAATCAAAAAGTTATTTGCCATTTTGCGAAATTCAGAATAGTTATTGAGATATGAATTAATAAATGTGAACCAATGAGCGCGTGAAAAGCAATGGTCCTACCTCTGTAGGCGTGTATGATTGTCAGTATAAGATTAATGACATAGTACATCTGTATTCAGCGGTTTGTAGCAAAGCGAGTAGCGCTCGAAGAGAGGTGAGAAGCCTCCGCGATCAGCTGATCGACTCTTCTTGAAGAGTGATGCACCAACTGGTTCATGATTGTGTACGAGACAACCACTCTCGCGCAATTGTTGCACTACACGGAGAATTGTTCGTTACATTGCGTCGATCAGCTGATCGCGGAGAGCAGANGCTTCTCACCTCCCCTCGAGCGCTGCTCGCTTTGCTACGAACCGCCAAATACAGATGTATGCCAGATGTATGCCATTAACCCTCTATGGGCCGAATTTTCTATCTTGACAACTTGCAAGGTATTTACTTTGACATTTCAGGTTGATGGTGCTGCCAACCGTCATCAATATTGTTATTGATTATTTCAGAGGCATTATATAATTTAGACGTATACATCATCTTGTGAAAAAAACTAAAACTATTTGGTAAAATGTAGATATATTAGCTTGTGACTTGAAAGTTACATGGGCCCATAGAGAGTTAATCTTTTACTGACATTCATACACATCTACAGAATCAGGACCATCGCTTTCCACGCGCTCATTGGTTTACATTTCTTAATTCATATCTCAATAACTATTACAAATTTTGCAAACTAGCAACTAACTTTTCTATTTAACTTTACTCATTCTATCTCCATACTTTTGCTGGGTCAAAATTTTACGGACACCCTGTATATGTGTATAGACTCTGTAGGCGTGTATGATTTTCTGTTGTAAAGAATGGCTTACTTTAAGCAATCTCCTGAGTCCTAAGATATGAATAAAGCTTAGGGCGGACCAAATAAGCGGGTGGCGAATAACACACACACACACACACACACACACACAGATTTTTGCGCAGTGATATGTCACTATATATGTATATTTTGTTGTGGTAGGAAATGAAGATGCCAGAAAGGTCCCGCAGCCCCGAGTGCACTGTAGTGAAGGGGATACATACACAAGCAAGTAACCGCTGTCCTAACGTGTTCGCTCGGCGCTTCGGCGAGTGGCTGCTCGTTTGTGTGAGTATCCTCTCTACTACGATATACTTGGAGCGCGAGACCTTCCCTGGAAGAAGATTCTGTAATTTGGCTTTTTGCAGAATCACTAGGCCAGACTGAACTAAATTACTCAATTGTAGTTATTGAGTAATTAATTCATGTGAACGCGTGAGAAGCAGTAGTGGAAATTCTGTAAGCGTGTATGCTTTTCAATTTTAAAGAAAAATTATTTCATGCAATCTCCTAACAGCAAGAGACGGAACAAACAAATGATTCTATATATATATATATATAAGTAGAATGTGGGCACTTATGGCGCGTCACAACAAACCCCCTCCACCTGGCCCCCCCCACCACTTCTGGTGCCATTGCCCCACCAGGGTGGTTTCCCCCTCCCTTGAGGGTGATTGGCCACGCCCACTGGAGGAGATAGAAAAGTGACATGATTTATTCCACATAAATTTTTTATACATTTTTTATAAATTTTTATAATTTTCTAAAAATGTGTATTTTAAATTTTTTTTGTTGAAGAATTTGTGTGGGAGAAAAGTTCGAGAATGTTCTCGAGTAAGAATTCTTTATTAAAAGAGTATATATTTATTGAAAAATCCGTTTTGAAGCGTGGCTGATACTGGCAATGGCGGCGCTCCGATGTTGTTGCCTCGTGCGTTCAAACGTGTATGAGAGCAAGTTGGCGTCGGTTGAGTGAGGAAGTGTAAAGGCGGAGGTGGCATCGGTCCCGAGAAGAATCACTCAGCGTCTGGGCACTTATGGCTCCCAATGAGCGAAGTTCAGGGGTAGTTGATAGGGATGATAGGGCCCCCAAGGAAGGACCAATGAGCGTCTGGGCACTTATGGCTCCTAATGAGCGTGAAGCATAGTTGAGGGCGTCTAGGCGAAATCGAAATAGAAGCAGGAGTCGCAAGACTGTGACTAGAAAGTCAGGGATGTAATATAAGAAATGAATTTATGTGTCCGGATTTTTTCTGAACGATTTTCATTTGCGAGAACTTGTACGTGCGGGTTGACACGTGCTTGCCGATGAGAACATAAGTTTTTTAAAGACAAAAAACGGTTTATGACTCGGGACCGTTAAACATGCGCGTACTTGTTTGCGCGAGAAACTTCGAGAAAATTCTACGAGAGTTTTTGATGGATATTCAATGTAGAATAAAATGTTTATAAAAATGCCCATTTAAAGAATTGTTTATTGTTTTTCATACGCATATGCACTCATGTGTGGGTAGCTACGACACGAGGTAAATGCAAAATAAAAACTATGTGTCGTACGCGGATGATATATAGAAATAATTTGTAACTTTTGAAAATAATGATTATTTACTGTTTAAACAAAAGTGGTGGTGATGGTAAAATAAGTTGATGCTCATGCGCACAAGAGAGTAAAATTGCTATAAGTAGAGCGATGTAAATACATTTTGATCATTATTCTGTTGCAAACAGTTGCGGCTGGCGCTTGAAATATCTTTTTACGCGATAAATATTAGTTTAAAAGTGTGTAAAGTAAAAAGTGCAAAGAAATGGCGGTGAATAGTGAAAAAGAGCAAGTTGAATCCAGTTTAAAATCGTGCATGGGAATCATCAAGAAGCAAAATAAGAGGCATGAGATGCTGCTTTCCACCGTGTATGGATTAAATAATTCTCATACAAAGAGAATTCAAGTAGGATTGCTCCCTGATGTAAGGAACGGATTTTTTTATCCTGCTATTAAATTATGCGGAAATNGAACAAATATCATATGGCTCGATGCTAACGCGTGGAAAAAATTGCAAGATACAATGCCGTTAATAAGTCTGTACTTGGACGGAGGAAACTACAAGACAGAGCCGATTGTAATAAATAATAATATCACAATTGCATTTACTACAGCATATGGAGCGAAGGCTGTATTAATTTCTCACAAAGAGTCCGGAAAAGAGGAAACATCTAACAGCGAGACAATGAGAGAAGAAGATTTGGATTGTTCTAGAGTGAAGAAACGCAGGATATTTTCTGCTTCTGTTGTTATGCAAAAATCAATGTTTCTCGGTTTGCAAAATATAGCGCAATGTGTTAACGCGTATATGGAACACTTGGATACATTAGCATCCAGCGTTAGCGAATGTTCCAAGTATTGAATACAAGAAACAGAATTGTTACTCCCAAAAGCTTATATAAACGCAGACATTATCAANTTAACAATTAAAGGT